GTTTTCTGATGGCTTGAAAAGAAAAAATTTGCAAAAATAAATTTTTCAGATAACTGATAGAGATGCGTGGCCACTGGATTCAGACTTTTCCAATTTAGCATTGGTTGATCGTGCTGATCGTATTTCAATACCACGTGTCACCGAATTCTTTCATCGCTATCATCTGGTGGATGACGTTTCATTTTTCAGAATCCTCAAAAAACATTTTAAGAAAACTAAAATTGATATCAAAAAAATTTATGCTAAGATTGATACTAAAGAAATTTATATATGAAATATTTTTTCGAAAATAAACAATAAGATTTGAAAAATTTCATTTATCATATTAAGCGAATTTATGAAAATATATTTAAATGACAGCATCTATTCATTAGCTCAACTTCACAAATGATTGTTAGGATCGTTTTGATCAAATCAAATAAACTTCCATAATGCGTCACCACTTACAAACTAGTATTGATTATCTACAAGTTGAAATTGAAATTTGTAAACTGCTCTTAGCTTATAAAATAATTTTTAAACAAAAGTAATAGTTTCAGAAAAATAAGGAAATGAAAATTTTGGCCATAGGAACTTTGATACTTATTATTGTGCTACTAATGCTATTTGCATTAATTCTTATTGTCACACAAAATAAGGAAGATTTGGGTTATTGTCCGTCAAATGTTATGGGATTTGATCCTGAAAATCCTCATCGTATGCATTTCGAATTATTTTTTTTAGAAAAATAATGAAAATGTTGGATTAATGATTAAATTAAATTAATGAATTTGGTAGGTAACATTGTGGGCCCCATTCAAAATGTTTATTTAAGGCCCTTTTTTCTTAACTGTACAATTATGTTATCGTTTCTCGAACAGCATGAAATTAATGTTTGAATTTGACGAATAAATAATGTGATTTATTGGTGAGATTAATGAATTAGTCGGATGGAATTTTGTTAAGTAAAAAAGTAAAAATTCTTCTGTCTTAGATTTTGATGAATATGATAACATTCAAACACTTTTCCATTAATAGTTTTAAAGCCATTCTTATCATATTTTAGTGAGATTTTAAAATGATATGGAAACTTTCAGAAAGTGTTTTATCTTAACTGATAAATGAATTATTGTAATTTTCATGATATTTTTGATTAATGCATCATTAATTCTGTGTCTTCAAATTTTTGCTAATTTGCTAATTAAAACTATACTTGACTTTTTTCACCCTACTTATACTACTGATAACACTGACAATTGTGCAGAAAATTTTGATTTACTAATCTGTGCAATAATAATGAATAATTACTAAAATTACCACTAAATAAGGAGAAAAATTATATTTTCCAGATGAAAATATATAATTTTTGCTAATTTTAGAGGTAAAATGGATGCAGAATTTATTGAATATAAAAACGCCAATCAAATATGACAATTCGAGTGTTTCAGCTGCACATTTCTTCATGTTAGACGATTGAAAATTCATGAAATGAGTGTGAAATTTGTATTAATATTAAGTTTTTTAAAATCTATCCCTATTAAACAGTTTATTTTTTAAATAAGTGAATAAAAAGACTTTTTATTGAAATCAATTATCAAAAAAAAGGAAATAAAAATAAAAATAGAAGTTATATTGAATACAATGATATAAATTACGATATAGCTAATTGAAAGGAGAGAATTATGCTAAATGGTGCTGAATATCATCACTAATAAAATGCCATCGTTAATTAATTAAATATGATGCCAAATAAGCTGCGAAGTTGGAAAGAAAAAAGTTCAAAAAGATTTTATGGTACTATCAAACTTTCGCTTACATGTATATGCAATATTTTAGTCTTCACTTTTAGGTTAACCAAAAAAAAAAAATCTTCCTGAAAATCGAATATTGTCGTACTCACTCATCTCTCCATAATTTTCTACCATCAATACTTTCAGCTTGAAATTGCATAATAATTAGATATAAGCCACACTACAATATCGAAATTATTGAAGTCAAAAAATATCGTACTAACTTATATGTGTAAGTAAAAGATATGTTAATGCGATTATGGGACATACAAATATATGCCATGATTAATGACTGATAGAATAAATCTTAGATTAGATTAATAAATATACTAATAACAAATTGGCTTAAGTATATTACTATAAGGTGAGAATTATGGAAAAGGAATAAGAGAAAGAGAGAGAGAGAGAGAGAGAAATAGAAAAAAATAAAGTAAGTATAAAAGAGAATAAAAAAAGAAAAAAGGAGAGAATAAAAAAGGTGAATAAAAAAAAGAGCGAAAAAAGAATGGAAAAAAGCGATGAATATGTATAATGAAATGATAAAACTAAATTATCATTCATTACATCGGCTAATCAATATTCTTTACGCAATCTTCATTTTTGCACTTATGTCTTATCTTTCATGTTTTATATCCGCCTTTCATTTTTTTCCGAATTCCTTAGTAAAATTTTTAAACTGTAATACAAAAATATCTTATACACAATGAATTTGTTGATATTTGCACATATTATCAAACGGTAATAAATACGAAGAGATTAAACTTCTACAATTTATTTGGTACAATCTGTTGTTTGTTTTTTTCCTCTCCTTTCATCCTTTCTCTTGACTATTTTCATTTAAATTTAAATTCAAATTTGGTAAGAATTTATTACCACTAATTATCAAAACACAGCACTGCCCGAGGTGAGGTTCGAACTCACGACCTTCAGATTATGAGACTGACGCGCTAACCAACTACGTTACTCAGGCGGAGTATTACGTTACTCTCATTATGAATTTTTCCCGGGCATAAATTTGAAAATGTCATTATCAATGAATTGAAGTTATTATTTTTGTCAAATGTGAATATTTTCAATGTCAGACTGTTTTTGAAATTTCAATTTGCACGTTTATTTTTCCTTTTTTTTTTAACTCCATCCTTTGTTTTCCACTATACTTTTTTGTAGAATGTATAAAAAAGAATTTGCTAGCTTAATAAATTTTTAAAAGTACTCTTTATAATGTCGTTTATAGTTATCGAGATCTTCAATGGTACTCCGTGTTTGGTAATCATCTGGATCTTCGGACCGTTTTTTTTTTTTTTGTTTTGTAGTCTTTAGTCTTTAATGATAGTCCTCCTCGTTCGGTAGTTTTTTTTTTTACTCCTAATGGATCAATTTTGTCCATTTTGTCACTAAAGAATTTATGGTTAATACAAAGTTTTGAAAAAAAAAAATTCATAGTTAATACAAACATTCTCTTCATATTGTAAACAGCTTCTAACTTTTGTTCGAGCTGAAATAATTACAAATTACAAATTTGAAATACAGTGGAATTTTCTGTTGTAAATATCTCGTATCTATTCATCAATGATAAATTCTGCAAAAGGAATGCCCGAGGTGAGGTTCGAACTCACGACCTTCAGATTATGAGACTGACGCGCTAGCCTACTGCGCTACTCAGGCACTTGACAGTCTCCTTGGCTTAATTATTGATTGGTTTCTAATTTTTCGAACTTTGTTATTAAATTTTTTCAAGTTCTATGATAACAGCAATTTTTAATAATAATACTTTGGCAATCTGTTTTGATAGTAATACAATTTTCGATTATTACTATATTAACTTCATTATTATTAATAAATTTGTTATATTATTATTATTATTATCGCCGCATTATCACATTGAAATGATATATGATGATTAATTATTCCTTATCATTTAATTCCATGGAGAATATAATTTGATAGATGACCTGAAATTGCACAAATATTTAGTTAAATCAGTTAAGATGAAACAATGAGTATATTTTACATAAAGTCACCAGAAGATCCGATACGATATATAATCATTAATAATTAATAATTACTAATATCAATCAACCATTTCTCACAATTTTCAAACATGTAAATTTCTCAAACAGTTCATTAAAATTAAAGCAAAATTTACATAAAGTGGTACATTTTGTTTTAATTGATGATATCTTTTTTTCTTGTTGACATTTTAAGTGGTTATCAGCCGATGAGGAATAATTTCGGTGGAAGAGTACCTCAAATAATAGATATTCATTACTATTACAGGTGACTAACCATAATTACCAGGTGGATATGCATACCATCAATTTATTTGATGTGCAACAATAGCCACGGATCGATGGCTACTTTAGTATGAATCATTCATGACAAAGAGCAAATATTTCTTACTTTATTTTCCAACCAATAATTAATGATTTTCCACTAAATGATTTTAATTTGTTTACCTTTTTAATTTTGTCCTTACCACTTTCATTTCCTTCTCACTATTATCATATCAATGTTATTATTAGGATTTGTTGTGAAAGTTTTGTAGATCGATTAATTATTGATTCATAGGGAAATTATTTGTAAGGATTTATTTGCGAAATTTATTAGAGCAATTCTGATATCAGGTAAATAATGCCGATAGTCGCTAGTAAAGAGATGGTTGATTGCTTGCAATTGCTTGAGCTGATACTAAAATACATGGTAATTTGTAATGCATTGAAGATAAGCTTACTTTTAGCATGAAAAAAGCATGATAACTATAAATTACAATTGGATAAACGATAAATTAGAACAAATTTCTAAAATATAATTACATTTGTTGTTTATTTGAAACAAAATTATTTTATAAAATTATATCGATTTTCCAACAGGATTCTCCTCTTTTTTCTCATTTTTTTTTCTTTTATTTGGAAATATTTTCATTCGTTCTATATGTAACTAATAATTAACAATTGATCAACATATTTCTTTTTCGATTCTTCAAATATTTCAATACAATTTCAAATTTTAATTTTTGACTTGTGAAAAAAAGTGTGTTAATTTATATCTTTAAATCATTCAGATAAAATCAATTAATTTATACCTCGAATTTATAGGTAAACAATAGAAAAAAGATGATTTTATAAGCATAAAATCATTTCGAAACGATTTTTATGATTGTAACATGTAGGAAAAAAAGGTTGCTATCATTTTTTTTTTCATTTTTTTTTTACTAAATTCATCGTTTTTATTTCATATGCTCATGTACTGTTAACGATGATGTTTGTCAATGTGACAACCAAACAACCAGTTAGTATACAAAATTCATTTCACAGTGTAATATTTGATTTTGTTCTTTTTCAATTGTCATCATTCTCCCTCCCCCTCTCTCTCTTTCTCTCTCTCTCTCTTTTTCTCCCACTCTCATTCTCTTTCCCTTTCTTCCTTTCAATCTTCCTTTGTTTATTGTTTTACCAATACCCTTATGACAATTTAACTCATTCTCGAAAATTTTTATTGTGGCTAACGTCATCCTTCATATACATATGTATATATATTTCTTTTTTAGTATCGGGAAAACTAATTTTCATTTTAAATATATATGATTCAGCTGATTGTAATGATGTTAATATTTATTTATAAATTTCAATTATAATTTTAACATCATTTCAAATTTTACAAATTATTTTTTCATTTTTGCAATAATAATCGTTATTGCATCAAAAAGCTATCAATTTTTAATTATAATTTCACAATAGTAATAAAACAATGAGTTTTTTAAATTCCCAAAAATAAAAACTATTTGTATTTTATGTTCATAATTGATATTCTTATTTTTTTTTTGAATAAAAAAATTAAAAAAAATAATGTCAATGATGTGATCGAAAAATTTTTTCAAAATTCATTGTTATTTTATTTTGTATAGTGCCCAAATGTTAGTTTTATTTGCAAATAAATCTTTTTTTCAGGTTTAGTAATAACATACAATAATTATTCTGTCATGAAATATGAATACATAATTAAACCGAATTTGAATATACAAATAATACTTTTAAATGAATTATTATAGCTAAGGATATTTTATTGCAGTGGAAAATGGTAAATTTTGCTGAAATTTAATCCCAAATTTGTATGTTTGCTGAAAGTTAATTTCAAAAAATTATATATGCTACAAATGATTTGTTTTTGAGAATTTTTTTGGAAAATTTGACACGAAATAATTTTTGTTTTAACTGTTTTCTTTTTTTCATTCCTAAAAAAACTGATTGAATAATCATTACGTCTCAGGGAAAGCCGGTTGCGATAAATATTTTTTGCACGAAATCCGGTTGGACAATTATTTTTTTTTTTTGCTGAGAATCGGTTAAATAATTATTTCCAATCCAAAAAACCAGTTGGATAGCTTTTTCAACGAAAAACTAACTGGATAATTTGTCTTTCTTTTAAAAAAAAACCAATGATTTAAGTAACTGAATATAGGAATGTTTTTTTTTTCGGTCTTCATTTCTTAACAATTTATAAATTTCGAACTAAAAATTAATAAATTATAAATTTTTTTTCTTAAATTAATATAATATCGATTGCGTCAACAATGCTAGTTAATTGTGAATATATAGCAAAAACTTTTTCATTTGTTTAAGATTACTCATTTTTAAATTAAGTCGGGAAATTTTTCAATTTCTTTTTTTGAAAAAATTTTGTTTAACTTAACCTTTCTTCGATTCTAACAATTAATATTTCATGATTTCTTCGATTCTAATAAATAATATTTCTTAACTGATACAATCTTGGCACCATAATTTAAAAGAATTTCGTTTTAGACATCATCGTTCGAGAACCGGGCAATTTAAAAATCCTTTCAGATAATTTTTTAGAATCAATATATCATTCTTTTTTCTTTTAATTCCTATTTTCATTTTTTTCTATCTTCTTCTTTTCTCACATTTGAATGTAATCAATTGAATTATCATATAAATTAGATATCATCAGAATGTTGTATCTTATAATGCTAATTGTTGTTCATATAATAATTAATTTTTAATTGAATTATCAACGAACATAAAAATTATAACAATTCGTCCAAAACATAATTGATTTAAGTTTATTGCTTATACCTAACAATCAATCAACCAATCGATAATTTTTTATGATTTAACTAGAAATTATTACTACAATTCCATTATTATTCATTATTGATGTTTAAATGGAGATGCTTCTGGAATGAGTCATTCATGCTTCGAGCTGACTTTTACCCTTCTCGAATGAGGAGCGGCGATCTTACAATGATGCACATCACCATTATTATCACCGCCACGCTACGATCACGCTTCTCACTGCCACTATTAGTCATCGCCATTCATGCCATTTTTATACCCTTCTTTCTGGAGATTTTGGAAAATTTGCAATTTAAATTTCAAACTTTCATTATATTCGAGTGTGAATTTTGAATTCGAATCCTATTTGTTATCTTTCTGTGTAATATTTATGTATTATTCAATAATTAGTTCCAAATCTTTGCTTCTTTCACGATATTAACCATTCAAACAGTCCTCTTATAATATATTAAGTTATGAATCATCGGGAATGTGTAATTTGAAATTCTAATTGGTAAGCTTTGAAATGAAACTGATCATTGATATAGTCTAGCTTAGCTTGGTCATTCGATAGGGATTAAAGGAAGACAAATTTTACGAGAAATAATTGAAATGATTCAACATATTATCTCTCATCAAACGTATTCAACGTGAAACAACGCCAAGCGCGTCTTCGTTTTCAACATGAAGCATGTATCAAGCGTAATATATCACGTATGCAACGCAGGAAACGTGACAAAAATGTTTAATTGTTCAGTTATGGCAAAATTGATGCTATTCAAATTGATAAATATTTTTATTTCTATTTTGCTATCGATGAAATATGGCCATTGTTATCATTATTATCATTATTTTTAAATAATATTAATAAATAGAAATCATCGAAAATAATAAATCATCCATTTTTGCCTTTCTCCTCATTTTTCTCTCTCCATTTCACCTTCGTTGAAAATTTTTAATTTCAATTTAAATGAAATTTGTCGTTATCTTCCGGTTCATTTACTAGCAAAACTCGTTCGATATTCCGTCTTCCCTTCCATATTTCTTTTCCTCACTTTTTTCTTCATATTATTTTCTTTTTTTTTTGGTTTTTCCTTTTTTTTGATTTAAAAATGTCATTCCAATACATGAATTGGTAAACTTCGGGATAATGATTCATTTCATTGATTGATAGATTGAAGTGATATGAACAGAAGAAATTTTAGTGATGAAATAAATTGTTGATGGAATAATTATCGAAATAGAGAATGCTTCACTGTTGAATTTATTTAGGGCATATAATTTTACATTAAATTTTCAGATATGCAACAAAATTTAGTTGAATTTAAAAGCGTGATTTTAAAATTTTATAAACTCTAACTCTAAGAAAATATACTAAAAAATCTTTTTTTTTTCTTCAATGAATCACCATGTATGTCTGTATTTTGCGTTCGACATGTTACTTTACCTTTTTACCAATATGGTAACTATAGCGGTAATTGGTAATAAAATATCGAATGATAATTGTTAATAAGGTATTTGGTTAGTAATAATCATGAAACGGGTCACTCAAATAATCTTTAACTTTGGTAAATTTTTTTTTTCCTGTTAGATATCACACAATGGTTCAATCATTCCTTTTATCCTCCTTTTTTTTCCCCGTATAATTAATTCAATCTCTGATTTCTAATTATTATCATCGGATAATTTAATTTGACCTTTGCCATTAATTCGAATATAATGATTCTTTTTGCATATCTTTTTCTGGGATTGCAATTAAAAACATTTATTAATTATTAGAATTTTTTAATTTAAGAAAATCCTGAAAGAATATGGAACAAATTTAAATTTTATTAAAATTGTTCGAAATATTATAGAATCATATATCGTGAATAGGTTCAATTAACTTTACTAACATAATCTTCATATGTCATTGTCATCATCGATTGATGTCATCGTTGGCCTTCATCTTCCTTCTTAATTGTTCACATGGAAGTGAGAACAACAGGCTGGTGGTAATGGAAGGATCCGGCTGGAGAATATAATTATTTCTCCATCATATTGGATCAAAAGATCATATCTTTCATGGATTAATTGTACATCATTTGCTTATCGTCACTTCCAATCTTTATTTCATTGCCAAATACAAATTGCCGCGCAAAGAGGCTCATTAGCCAAGGACATGCGGCTACAATCATCCGGAATTTCTGATAATGAAATATTAGACGAAAATCGTCCCATGCATTATTTTTATAAACCTATTATGCAGTCAAATAATACACTGTCGAATAGTCATTATTTCTGTTGCTCTCATTTTCCGATTGTTTTCTGATAGTTTTCCGGGTATTATTTCTCGGTAGTTTTCCAGATATTGCGTTTTGGTAGTTTTCCGAAAATTGTTTTCTGTAGTTTTTCGGATATTGTTTTCAGATAGTTTTCCAGATATTGTGTTTTGGTAGTTTTTCGGACATTGTTCTTTGGTGGTTTTCCGGATATTGTTTCCTGATAGTTTTCCAGATATTGTTTCCTTGTAGTTTTCCAAGTACTGTGTTTTGGAGGTTTTCCGGACGTTGTTTTGTGGTGGCTTCCGGATATTTTTTGTATTTTCTGGACACCGTTTTCTGTAGTTTTTCGGACATTGTTTTCAGATAGTCTTCCAGATATTGTGTTTTGGTAGTTTTCCGGATATTATTTTTTGGTGATTTTCCAGTTATTGTTTCCTGGTAGTTCTCCAAATACTGCGTTTTGGTAGTTTTCCGGGCATTGTTTTTTGTTTTCTGTAGTTTTCCGGATATTATTAGTTTTCGGATATTGTTTTCCGGAGTTTTACGGATATGTTTTCTGGTGACAATTTTCCGAACATTTTTTTTTTCAATAATGTAGCATTAGGTGATGCACTTTTCTTTTTTTCATTTCAGCAATTTTATGTCAAAGTTCATGTCTATTTTTATGTCTATTCGATGGAGTGAACTTTAATCGACAGACGATATAGTAATGGTAAGTTTAAATTTTCAGAATTTTTAATGCTTTCAACTTTTCAAAAATTTTCCATTCTCTCTAATTGTTTTCTTTCTAAATAAAAAAGTGCAATTATAATTTTAATATTGATGGAAATTTCCAAAACGTTATTAAATTGTTTTGCAATCAGAAATTTAATCTTAATTTCTAACAAAAAGTGAAATCGCAAATGCATTTATCAATTTGCTCTATCTTTTTCGAACAATGCAACACACATTTGTTGCTTAATTGCTGTTGAATATCTGCCTTCAATAATTTATGCATTTTTTTTTTTTTTAAATATCAACAACTGAACCTTTTTCATCGATTATAAATGTGCTTTCATTTTATTTCATAAAAAATTAAATTAAGTATATAATGCAAATTTTTGAGAGGGAAAATGTTATTCGTTAGAAAAATTTAGGAAAAATGTTTGATTAATGCTATTATTTTGAGTAATTTTTAAAAAATTTTAAATAAATCCGCAAGCATAAATCATATTAGTAAATTCTAACATTTTCAAGATATTTTATATGTTTTTAAATTATTTGTATATTTTTAAGTCAAAATTTTAAGTATGTATATATACTAAACATACATATAAGCCTCTATTAATCAAATATCCTTGTTGTATGAGGAAGTGAAATAACAATAATTTATTCTCTTTGCTTTTTTCATGCAATATGAATCATTTTATTGATACAACAAATTTCTTAATAAATTATAGTTAGCTTATTTGATTTGGAAATATTTGCAGCATTATTTATTGTTGCTAGAAAGGGTAACAAATTTCATTATTAATTATTAACAATGAATGATATGTGTTATTATTTACAAAGCGTATTCATATTGAATTGAAAAGCGATTGAAATTTAATTTTTATTAAATTTTAAAATAGCTTAATAGATGGTGAGGATATGTTTGATGAGGAATTCTTTTTACCTGATGAAATTAGGGCTAAGTAAAACATAATTACATGTAAAAAATGAAATATTTTGGTAGCTATAATTTGTCAATAAGCAATTAATTGATGCATACGAACTATTCAAGCATTTCGATCAATTGATTTAAATTAAACGATAATGATAGATAATAATTTCATACTGAAAATGAGGAAAATATTTATGAATTTTGTTGCAAATTTGAAAATGATTAGTGAAAAAAATTGAGAGAAAGTGAAATTTAAAAAAATTTCAAATAATAATTATTATTTAATGCTAAGATAAGAAATCAGTAAAGATTACAAACATTCAATGATAAATAATAAATCATTTCTCTCAGCTGCAATCATTCAACCAAGTGATATGCAGACTCTAACTAATCAACTAAAGCTTACGTGTTTCTACACGTAAAGCTTACGCTTAGCAACTAATATTTACGTATAATATTGACACGTGACATTGACTTTTACAAGTGTACAGCGCTACTTTTACAAGTATATAACGTGAAATGAGATCTTAGCATTGAATGAGATATCATATATTACAATATTCATTAATTTATATTCCTAATTTCACATATATTAAAAATAAATTTCAATTTCTAGGCATTTCATTGGCAATCGAAAGTGAACATTCAACATGTTGGTGTGGATGATATGGTACTGCTTGGTAAGCTTAATGAGCAAGCAATCGTTGATAATCTACGAAAGCGTTTCATGGCTAATTCTATTTTTGTAAGTTACAAAATAATAATTATTATATTAATTTACATGTTCGATTTTTTTTTCATCATAAATTAATTAACATACAGTTATTATAGCTATAATTAAAATAATATTGCGTTAGTTTATATTAATTTATATCCGTAAAAAAATATTGCTTAATTCTCTTAAAACATTATATTAATTTTATAATATTTGAAATTTATTATCATTTTTTCCTCTCACATATTATGCATCATTTAAAAATATTTTATTGGAATATACATCCAATTGTCATCCTAAATTTCAATACAAATTTATGCATTGCACTATTATT